GTTTTAATATAGTTTTAATAGACTCTTCATTCCATACTCCCTCTCTTCCTCTTCTGCAATGCCTGTAATTCTAATATTGCTTTTTCTGATGGAATCAAATAGGTCTCATAGAGCTCTTTCATTTTTCTTTATTCTCAGGTCTCTCTCTTTTTCCTCTGCACCATTTCTTGATTCCTATCTTCGATATCACTAGTTCTTTCCTCTATTTCATTTGTTCTGTTTTCTATGCTCGGTAGTTTACTCTTCATCTCCTTATTTGCATACTTCACTTCCAGGATTTCTTATTGGTCCTTTTAAAAGTTTTTAATTTCCTTGGTAAAGTACTCATTCATTGATTTATTTTCCAAGTGCACTGAATTGCCTGTCAGTATTTTCTTGTATCTCATTATTTTCAGGACTGCAATCTTGAAATTTCTGTCATTTATTATTTTTAAATTTTTATTTTTTCCATTGATGTTTAAAGAGATTAGAAGGAAGGGGAAGAGACAGAAAGAAGGAAACATTGATGTGAGAGAGACACATCAATTGGTTGCCTCCCATATATGCCCTGACTGGGGCTGGGGATAAAGCATGCAACCAAGTTATGTGCCCTTTATTGGAATTGAACCCAGGCCCCTTCAGTTTGTGGGCCGACACTCTATTTACTGAGCCAAACCAGGTAGAGTGAACTCTTTCATTTATATCACATATTTCCATGTGTTCCAGCCTGCTTTCTGAGGATTTTTTCATTTTCTTTCAGGTCATCGTCATCATTGTGGTTCTTCATGGTATTTGCTGTCTTCCTTTGCTTATGCATTTATCTCTGAAGAGGTCTTTCTACTATTTTCCAGTAGATGGTGCTGAATCACAAGATTTTTACCTCTGATCTCCCGGTCTTGAACCTCCGCTGCTTCCCCTAAGACCGAATAGCTGTGCTGCTTGATAGGATTTGTTTACCCTCACTGTAATGGTGACCTCGGTGGATCCCACCCCTAAGATCCGTCCTGGGGCTCAGTCACAGAGGGAAACAGGGATTCTATTGCAGTAGCCTTTGGTTTACAGATAATATGCTCCTGAACTTGACTTCAAGGACAACAGGAGGCAAATTTTGGGAGTCCAAGCAGTGGCAGGGCTCTGTGGTACATTTCTTTGTCTGAAATACCACTGTCTGTCTGAGCCACATGTACATGGCAGAATCCTGTGCTCTGTCAGGAGTCTGCTGACTCAGACACTGTTCACTCTCACTGCTTGCCACTTGCTTTGAGCTCCTGGCTACAGCGCTGCATCTGGGGGCCATCTATGCTTTTCGTTCTTGTCTCCCATTTATTCCTGGTTGCCCACCTTTAGAAGTTTCAGCACACAAGTCTCTCAGGCGTGTGTCTGTGTTGAGCAGGGATTTCTTTGTTGAATTATACATGGTTAACTTTTTGAAATTCCGGGGTGAGGAAAAGATGAGCCTTACACCATCATTCCTCTGACATCACCTCCCATGTCTTTGATATTACAGGGTCCGAGGCTAAGAGATCTCCTCCAGGAACACTTCGTCCATTACTCTCCTCCCCGTGCTAGGCACTTTTTCTTGCTATTCCTGGGGCTTCACTGGCAAAACTCCTGCCTCAGGGTCTTGCTGTGCCCTCTGTAGCCTGCTTTCTCACTTCCTTAGTTTTTTCTCTTATTACATTGATAGTTTTTTAAACTTACTTAAATTTGCAGCGTTCACCCAGTATCGGCACTCATCCATTTTTCCCGTAAGCAGAAATCCTATATAATAAAAGAGTAATATGCAAATTAACCACACTCTGCTACACCCCTCAGCCACGCCCAACCAGAGTGACTATGCAAATTAACCCCTTCCAAGATAGCTTCAGCCATAGAGAGCAGGAGGGAGGCTTGGCTTTACCTGGCAATGGAGGAAGCCAAGCTTTCAGCACACCCTGGCTGGCCGAGGCCTCCACTCAAGGGTACAAAGTTTCAATTATAGAAGGTAAATAAATTCCAACAGAACTGGCGGCAGCCACGGAGCTGGAAGAGCAGGAGGCTAGGGTTGCCTTGGGCAATGGAGGACACTCCTGCCGGCTCAGGCCTTCACTCTAGGCTACAAAGTTTAAATTATAGAAGGTACATAAATTCCAACAGAAATGGCTGCCGCCACAGAGCAAGCAGGTGGCTTGGCTCCAATCCAGGCTACAAAGTTTAAATTGTAGAAGATAAATAAGTCCCAGATCCCAGGGCCTTCACTTGGGTCTGGGGGGACGAGGGGGCGTGGCCAGCCTGCAAACTACCACAGGCACCTAGCCCAGGCCACCCCATGCCCCAAGGTAACCCCCATTCTAATCCAGGACACCCTTCAAGGCAAACCAGTTGGGCCCCCACCCATGCACCAGGCCTCTATCCTATCTAATGAATAATATACAGATTGACCATCACCCCAACATACAAGATGGCTTCCTCGTGGTAAAAGATCCTGCCCCCATGTAGACACAAGATGGCCATCACAAGATAGCCATCAGGGGAGGGAGTTGGGAGACACCAGGCCTACAAGGGACGGCAGTTGGGGTGACCAGGCTGACAGGGGAGCAATTAGATATCAATCAGGCTGGCATGGGAGTGGTTAAGGGGTAATCAGGCTGGTAGGCAGAAGCAGTTAGGGGCAATCAGGAAAACAGGTGAGCAGTTGGGAGCCTGAATTGTGAGAGGGATGTCCAACTGCCCGTTTAGGCCCAATCCCAGTGGGCAGTTTGACATCCCTCAAGGGGTCCCAAATTGGAGAGGATGCAGGCTGGGTTGAGGGATTACCTCCTCCCTCCATGCACAAATTTTGTGCACCAGGCCTCTAGTTAAAAAAATATACTGAATCCCCAGTGCCTAGAACACAGTCTAGCATATTGTATGCCCTTAATAAATACTTGCTGAATTATTATTTAATAAATCTTTATTGTTCATAGTATTACAAATGTTCCTCATTTTAAAAAATATATTTTATTGATTTTTTACAGAGAGGAAGAGAGAGGGATAGAGAGTTAGAAACCTTAATGAGAATCATCGATCAGCTGCCTCTTGCACACCCCTCACTGGGGATGTGCCCACAACCAAGGTACATGCCCTTGACCAGAATCGAACCCGGGACCCTTCAGTCCACAGGCTCTGTCCACTGAGCCAAATCGGTTTTGGCGGCAGTAGTAAAGTCTTGATTGTTGTTGGTATCACTGGGAGGATCTGACCTCCAAGCCAATTGGCTGTGAGGATCAGCTCTGTCTATGCGGGGAGACAGCCTTATTCAAAAGCCTCAGTGCTCAGCTTGGATGGGGCGGAGTTTCAGGGTGCAGTCTACAGCCTTGGCTTCCATCAGCTCTGCCCTATGAGGTTCCTGAGTCTCAGTGTTCCTCAGTGTCCTTCGGTACTCACTGCTTTGTTACTCGCTGCAAGCACCTCTGAGAGAAAGGTGCCCTCAAGTTTCGCCAGCTACCAGACAGCCTGGTCTCTCACTGAGTGAGCCCGGAACTGGGGTTCAGTGCAGTTGGAAGTGGGGTTAAGAGCCTTCGGAGCTTTTGTCTCCTTCCCGCTAGGGCAATCCAGCGGCACAGTCAACAGTCAGTCCTCTGCACACAACGTGTGCACATCTGGAACTCTGCCTTTTGCTGCTTCCCTGAGTTTCCTCCTTACAGCCTAGATTCCCCCTCTGTATGAGCTTGGGTCCCCAGGGTCTTGCCTAGAACTGGGGTCCAGCACAGTCCGGAGATTTTCCCGCTAGGGAACACCAGCCAGGCACTCAGCCACTGCCTCCTCTCTGGCTCGGTCCTCTCCCCATGCGTGCACCGTGTCTCCGTACCTTAGGCTTTTACAGCTCCTCTGATTTTCCTTCTGGTTTTCTCTTTCCTTCTCATAGAATTTCCAGTCAATTTTCCTGTAGTTCTGGATATTTTAGTTGTATTTTTTTGAAATTGTTATGCAAGGCTGCAGTTAGGCGTTTACCTATGCCGCCATCTTGGCTTCTCCACTTGCTGAGTTATTTTTTTTGTGTGTGTGTAGTTAGTTATATTTATATATTACAGTTATATATTAAAAAGAAAAACTTGCCTGAAGAGAAACTCCTGAAGGACCCAAGTGACTCAGGAAAGTTTACTGTCCCCCCGCCCACCAAATTCCTTTATAAAAATCTTCCAGTGCGATCTTCAGGAAACCCGCCCGGCCCGCCTGTGTCCCCACGACCCCGACTGCCAGCTCAGCCCCGCGGCGTGTCCAGTCTCATCTCTGGCCGGCCACGGCGGCCATGGCTTTCTGCGGGGCGCCCCCCTGCGGGGCTCGGGGGGCCACGTGGGCTGTGGTTGGTGGAGGTGGTGGAAGCTGTAGGCCGCCGGGGAGGAGGGCGGCATCCAGGCGGCCTGGTGGCTGGGTGGGGACGAGGCCGAGAAGGGGCTGAAGCTTGCGGTGGGGGCGAGCAGGCCGCGGCCGTCATGGGGCTGCCGCTCTGCAGGCCCTCGGACGCGCGCAGCTTGGAGAACATGGCCAAGCCGTCAGGAAAGTTGGGCGGTGTTGCTGGGGGTACACATCATCTGGGGGTGGTGGTGGCCGTTGGGAATGTTGGTTTCTTGGAAAAACGTGCTCTGGGCGGTCTCGAACTGCCAGTGGGCCGCCTGCAGGAGCTGCTTCGCCTGGTCAGCCGCACAGCCCGCCGCCAGCACGAAATGGTTGATCATGACCTGGTGCCGCAGCTCCTCCATGTTCACCAACATAGCTGCGCCGTTGCGCGGTGCTCGGCGGCCGCGGGAGGCCGGCCGCCCTGGGCTCGCCAGCGCACAAAACCCACTTGCTGAGTTATTAAAGAACAGGCAGAATGACACAGGGCATGTGCTCTGTACATTAATGCAGTACCTAATTTACTGTGCACAGCAGGGCTATGAGGGCGGCACCCTGGCTTTCCTGTTTTCCACCAGCAGGACTGAGCATGCAGCTTGCGGAGACCCAGTCTCTTGCTCCTGGGCCTGTGGGTCAGGACTGACTTGTCCCCTTTCTCCCCGTAGGTCCCGAGGGCGGCACCAGCGCCTCCTGCAGACCCGGTGCGCCCACACGTGTGCTCGGAATGTGGCCGTGCTTTTGCACGCCGGTCCACGCTGGCCAAGCATTCACGCACACACACAGGGGAACGGCCTTTCGAATGCCCCGAGTGTGGCCGGGGCTTTTCCCAGAAGTCCGCGCTGACCAAGCACGGCCGCACACACACGGGCGAGCGGCCCTATGAGTGCCCTGAGTGTGGCCAGCGCTTTTCGGCCGCCTCGAACCTGCAACAGCACCGGCGGCGCCACACCGGCGAGAAGCCCTACGCGTGCACGCAGTGTGGGCGCCGCTTCGCTCAGAGCTCCAACTACGCGCAGCACCTGCGCGTGCACACGGGCGAGAAGCCCTACACCTGCCCCGACTGCGGGCGCGCCTTCGGCGGCAGCTCGTGCCTTGTGCGCCACCGACGCACGCACACGGGGGAGCGGCCCTACGTTTGTGCCGACTGTGGCACTCGCTTTGCTCAGAGCTCGGCGCTGGCCAAGCACCGGCGTGTACACACGGGCGAGAAGCCACACCTCTGTACCGTGTGTGGCCGCTATTTCCGCCACCGGTCCAACCTGGCAGATCATACCCGCACGCACACGGGCGAGCGGCCCTACCCCTGCACCGAGTGCGGACAGCGCTTCCGCCTCAGCTCAAACTTCGTCCGCCACCGTCGTTCGCATATGATGCGCCGTCTCTATATCTGCGCTGTGTGCGGCCGAGACTTCAAGCTGCCCCCTGGCTCTAAGGCCACCACTGTCACTGAGCGCTGCCCCGAGTGCGAGAGCAGATGAGCCCCCTGGTGGCTGCGGGCTGCTAGTGCTGGCTGAGGAGCATGTCAGGGCCCGACCCCCAGGGGCTGGACTAACCTGGACAGGGACCCAGGGACCCTGGTTTGGGAAAGGGTGGGATGGCAGAACTGGCTGCCCGGGACCTGGGAGACATAGTTAATCCCCTACTGGGATTTTTGGAAACCATGGCCTCTTTCCTCACTACAATCCTCGCCCCGTGTTAGTGAATAAAGTATTATATATTCACGCACATGTGCCTGTGAATGAGGTTAATGGGGAGAGGAGCAAAGTTGGGGTTCCCCCAGGGTTAAGTGACTTAAGTGAATCGTCATGGAACTGGGTTTGTGTGTGTGGAGTCATCCCACCCTCAGCCCTTGGTTATGTCCTCATAACCTCTGATCTGGAAGGGTCCATAAATACAGCACATTCATGCTTAGACAGGCAATGAATTTTGCAGAGCTTTGGTGAGTAGCCATAACATCATGGGATCAGTATAGTGAAGCGATAATACTTTCTACATATATTGAAAGGAGATAAATATAGAAACATCAGTGATGGGATAGAATCGTTGATTGGCTGCTTCCTGCACACCCCATACTGGGGATGGAGCCGGGAACCTGGGCATGTGCCGTGACGGAATCAAACCCATGATTTCCTGGTTCATAGTTTCCTGCTCCAGCACTGAGCCAGGCCTGTCAGTATTTTATAGGACTATGTGAAAGATTTAAGCGCTTTATTATTGTCAGCTCATTTTTATTCTCAGCATCCAAGTTAGGTAATCATACCTCCATTTCTGCAGATAAATAAGTACTGACAGGGAACAGCAGAGCTGGGACAAGTCTATAGGCATTTGCAATCCACTGTCATTTGCCTATGATGGGGGAGTTGTTAGGTTCTTAACGCAATCTTGGGAGTTTAGTTATATTTAAGCAGGTGGTGAAGGCTAAAAGAGTGGGAACTAGGGAGAGTCCCTGAAAGTGCCTGCCCGACTTGTTAGAGCTTGAAGATAGGGACAGAGAGCAAGGAGGTTGGCAGGAGATAGACCAGTAGGGGTTTTAGAAGCCAGGTGACAATACCCAAGACAACAAAGAAGCCTTGAGTGAAAAGGGGAGGGGCATATTAAGGAGCTAGAATTCTGGGGATAAGGGAGGCGGGGCTGGTTTCATTTCTTAGCATGGATGACCACAGGTAGTGTCATAGATGGTATAGTTTGAGTCCAACAGTTGGAAGTGGCAGCAATTGTTACTCCCAATCTGGACATGTGGAATGTGAGGTCAACGTGGAGGGGTCAGAGAGGTGATTGAAAAGAACACCTTGAGATATGGGGTCTGAAGTGCATGACCCCTCACCTAGAATAGGATACCAAAGAGGTACCTGTGAAAGAACAGCCAGAGATAGACAAATTCAAAAATGCCTCGTTTGGGAAATCTAAAGAAAAGTGTTTCAGCTTTGGCCAGTTTGGCCTAGTGGATAGAGTGCCAGCCTGCGCATCGAAGGGTCATAGGTTTGGTCCCCACTGGGGGGCATGTAGGAGGCAGGCAATCCACGGTTCTCATCATGGATATTTCTCCCTTCCTCTGAAATCAATAAAAATATATTTAAAAAAAGTGTTTCAGAGGAAGTGGTCAGATATTGCTCTGGTGCCCTGTGGTTGTAGGAATTTGGGGAAGTGGTGACCAGTTTCAGGGGTGTGATAGTGGGTTAGGATATAAATGGGAGGATGGGGAAGCAGAATGGGTGGGTGTAACAACCTTTCTCAAGAGGCGTGGCTGTGGAAAGTGAGGGCAGTAGCTGGGGAGTTTGTTGGTTTTGTCATTAGGGAGAGTCCATTTTTGTGCTTCTGGTGAGAGGTAATGAAAAGGAAGAGAAGTTGATTACATAGATTGATTGATCAAGGAGAGGTAATGAAGTCAAACCAGTAAGTCAAACCACCATGGTAGGGAGCAGGGTGGGCTTGGGAACACAAAGCTGAAGCAGTGCCAATCTGGAGTTTGACCTCTTAAGAGGGATAAGGACACCGAGAGGAATGAGGCCAGTAAAGGGGAACCCTCATTTTACTGATGTGGAAAGAGGTTGACAAGGGCAGCAAAAGTAATTTAAAGGTCTTTTTTTGCAGCATTACCCCAGGCCATGGGCATCTCAGAAAAAAGATGTGTCTGAGGTCACACAACAGGTAAATCGCACACCTAACACTATTTTTAGGGATAGAAGAGGAAGGAGAAATTGGTCTGGAGATGGCAGTGAAGGGGCAAGAGGCCCAAGTCCAAGAGGAGAGGAAGCCCTGTTCTGCTCTACATTAGAGATGTGATGCTGGTTTGTGCCGAGGCCTGACGCTTAGCCCTGGACCCAGGCCTAACTCAACTGTTGACATTTCCTGCTCGTGATCTGAAAGTTAATAACTGGAAAGTTACAAAGTCCTATGTATAATACCTGGCACTGTCCTAAGCACTCTACTGACAGTAGTAACTCACTTAAGTTGTTTGTTTTTACATTTTTATTGATTTCAGAGATAGAAACATCAATGATGAGAATTGGTTGCCTCATGCACACCCATGGGGATTGAGCCGGAAACCCGGGTATCTGCCCTAGCTAGGATTGAACTGTGACCTCCAGGCGCATAAGCCAACGCTCAACCACTGGGCCACACCGGCTGGGCTCATCTAAGTTTAAGACCTTAGCAGGTAGGCACTTTATTTTCATTTTAGATAAGGAAATCAATGAACACCATCAGCTAAGTATGAAAGATGGCATTTGATCCCTGATGGCCTGACTCAAAAATCTGGGCTCTAAAGCTATGCACAGCCTCCAATCTGTTAGAGGCCCCGAAGGGGAAGGAAACTGGCTGGAATCTCACAGGCAACCCGCTAGAAATCAGACCTCTCCCTGCAGGTGGGAGCTACACCAGAGAAACATGAGAGTGGGGCCAGAAGCAGCCCTGGTGCCCCTCTTCAGCACCTGCTGAGACGCAGCCTCCCCAGCCACAAAGAATCTGGAGGTGGTCAAAAGAAACTTTTATTGCGGGAGAAAAGTACCAAGAGGCTGTCTTCCAGAGGTTCCTGAGCCTCAGACCTCAGGACGTGCCCCTCGGTCTGTGATCTGTTAGGAAAGGCCACTGTCTTCCTCGCATGTCATGCTGAGCTGCAGATCTTGGTTCCATGTTTCTAGGTTGAGGCCTGACCAGTGGACTCATAGGCAAGGTCTGCAGTCCCCACAGACTGATCTTCGGAGGTGGCCCCACGGGGCAGGTCTGTATACTTGCGAGAAGAGCCACGGGACAGATGTGCTGGGTAGCGTCTCCGGTTGGTGTCCATCTTGGCAAGCACTGCTTGGGGAAGATCCACACGGCAGCGGGCTGCTAATGCTACCAGGTAGATGAGGACGTCACTAAGCTCCTCTTGAAGGGCTGCCCGCTCCTTAGGGGGCCAGGCTTGGGGACCAGGCTCCCCATCGGGCTTCCACTGACTGGGGATGGAACACACAGACAGGCACACACACAGAGATGCTAGCTGGGACAATGGGTTCCGCTGCCCAGGGCACCCCAGTTCTTGCAGCAATGAATTCCCACGTCCTAGGAACTTCCCCCAACGACAGTCCAACCTCCATGGGCCCCGGGTAGAGGAAGGGCCTCCAAAGATGAGTCACCCGGACTTCTGTGTCCCCACCCGAGCCAAAGAGTTGGCAAGAGATCATTTCACTTGTCAAGACGCAGTTCTTCTTCTCATGCCCTAGCCACTGCCACCCCAGACTACATCTCAGACCTGGACTACTGGGGAAGCAGCTGGCTCATCTACTCTTGCCCAGCATCATCTTTTATATATGTTTTATTGATTTTTTTTTTTTACAGAGAGGAAAGGAGAGGGATAGAGAGTCAGAAACATGGATCAGCTGCCTCCTGCACACTCCCCACCAGGGATGTGCCCACAACCAAGGTACGTGTCCTTGACCAGAATCGAACCTGGGACCCTTCAGTCCGCAGGCTGATGCTCTATCCACTGAGCCAAACCGGTTAGGGCCCAGCATCAACTTTTTTTTTTTTTTTTAATTTACAGAGAGGAAGAGAGAGGGATAGAGAGTTGGAAACATCGATGAGAGAGAATCATCGATTAGCTGCCTCTTGCACACCCCCTACTGGGGATGTGCCCACAACCAATGTACATGCCCTTGACCTGAATCGAACATGGGAACTTTCAGTCCGCAGGCCGATGCTCTATTCATTGAGTCAAACCGGTTTTGGCCCCAGCATCAACTTTTAAAACACATTTACACATTAGTTTGTCCCTCTGCTAAAACTCCCTAATTGTGCTTGGAATAAAATCCTACATGAGCTGAATGACTCCTGCCCCTTCCACTGTCATAATCCACTACTTTCCCTAACTCCCTACCTAAACGTCACCCTGGCCTTTTCTGACTTGCAAACAGGTCAGTGTCCCAGGGCCTTTGCACTTATTGCTCCCATTGCCTCGAATGGTCGTCTCCCTGCTCCCCCGGAGCTTCCCCATGGCTGGCTCCTTCCTGTTGTCCAGGCCTCAGCTCAGATGTTACCTCCTCAGAAAAGCCTTCTCCCTCCGTTTCCTTCTTTCTCACAACCTGGTGCTATTTTATTTATAGAACTTATCACAATTACTGATGTTTTAAAATAAGCCTGGCTGGTGTGCTCAATGGTTAAGCATTGCCCTATGAACCAGGAGGTCATGATTTGATTCCTAGTCAGGCACATGCCTGTGTTGCAGGTTCCATTTCCAGTGTGGGGTAAACAGGAGGCAGCAGATCAAAGCAGATTAATGACTCTCTCTGATCACTGATCTTTCTTTCTCTCCTTCTCTGAAATGGAAAAAAAAAAAAAAAAAAAAAAAAAAAAAAAAAAAAAGCTTGCTAATTTACTCAGTCTCCTTGCACTGTGAAGATAGGAGCAATGTCTGTCTTGTTAAAGCCCCTATCTTGATTCTAGAAGAGCGAGCACACAGAGGAAGCTCATAGATCTATAATAAATGAATGTCTTGCCCACACACATCTCTGTGCCCTAACTTCTCCACTCCCCTGTGATTTCACTGGCTTAGGCCTCATGCCCTCTGGCCTAATCTGCACCAGCCTCTTCACTGGTTTCCCTGCCCTAATGCTTTTGGTGATCCATCCACCCTGCTGACACAGTGCTTGCCCTCCCGCTCACATCTGGTCAGGTCTTCGGTCCAAACTCCACCAATCCTTAACCCCAATCTTATCATTGTAGGTTCATATCCCATCCCTCTCCTCCACAGCCCATCACTTACTCAGTAGATATCTACTGCATGTCGTGGGCCAGGCACTTGGAAACCAGAGAACAAAGCACATACAAATTCCTTGCTCTTCCTTGAGAAACTCACTGGAAGAGTTCTCCCTGAACTTAATTTGCCCTTTCCCACTTCACCACCTATGCACTTGTAGTTTCGCCTCTGCCTGGAGTGCCATAGGCAGGTTTTCTATCCTACATAACAAAGAGGTAATGTGTAAATTGACCATCACTCCAACACACAAGATGGACGCCTCCATGTGGACACAGGATGGCCACAAGATGGCCAACAGGGGAGGAACAGTTGTGGGCAATCAGGCCAGCAGGGGAGGGCAGTTGGGAGGGACCAGGCATGCAAGGGAGGCCAGCAGGGAAGGGTAGTTAATGGCAATTGGGCTGGCAGGGGAGTGGTTAGGGGGTGATCAGGCTGGCAGGCAGAAGCAGTTAGGGACAATTCAGGTAGGCAGGCAGGTGAATGGTTGGGAGTCAGCAGTCCTGGATTGTGAAAGGGATCCCAGATTGGAGAGGGTGCAGGCTGGGCTGAGGGGACCCTCCCCACCCCTGCATGGGCCTCTAGTAGAATATATTCTTTTCTATCCCAGAGGCAGAGGTAAAGGAAGATTTCATGGCTCTTTCTTAGACCAAGGTCTGCCTTGCTGTTTTATCTCCCAGGAAGCTGGGCAACCCCTCAAGGGCAGGGGCTGTTGAATCATCTGTATCCCCAGCACCAGGAACAGAGCCGGGCAATGAGAAGGGGAATCAGAACCCGTGGATGTTTGATGATCAAATACCACCCCCCTTCCCCCCCTAACCCCCCCCCTCCCCATATAAAGATTCTTCCAGGAAACCTTTCATCTACTCACAAGAGCTCTGCCAGCTCCCCCACTTCCCCCACCAAGGCCAGGAGGAGGTTCCGAGGTTGATGGAACTGGTCCCAGTCTCTTTCAGCAGCAAACTCAGCATGGAGGCGGCGGCTGGTATAGGAGAAAGGTGTGGAAGCCCAGCCTCAGAGTTAGGGCATGGGGGAGGAGATGCAGGGCCCAGGCAGCTATCTCTGATCTGTAATGGGGGCATGGGTTTCCGCCAGGATTCTGCAGGTAACTCCTTGAATGGCCTTTAGTCATGTCTTTTTTAGGGGACTATAAAATGGACCAGTCCCTACACAGACCCTAACCTCCATGGAAACCCAAAAATGCCCTCTTTACCATTTCACCTCCTGTAGCTGCTGCTGCAGTTTCCTCCACCTGGCACACCCCTGTCTCTGCATATCTAAAGCCTAGGATCTTAGAGACCTTGTAGGTCCGCGGGGACTTCCCCTAAGGAGACTTTCTTGGTTTCCTTCAGCAAGAAATAATGCCTCCCCCTCTCACTGCATTTGTCTACGTTCTCTCGCCCATTCCTGGAGGGCAGAGCATGGACAGAGGATTTCCTCAGGGCGGGCCTTAACATTATTCACCGGATTCACTATTCCCCTGCCTCAGGTGTGCACTAAGGCCGTCGTGACTATGAGCTTAGAAGGCTCGTCAGAGGTCAGAGGGCAGAGCTGGGACCCGAGCACAGCGGCTAGACTTCTTCCGACACGTGGAGGGACCCGCCCCAATAAAAGGGCGAGAGGGGTGACTTGCCCAGCCCAGGTCGCTTACATGTCCTCGAGCGTGGGCTCCGGGCTGAAGCTGAAGGGGCGGACAGTTTCGGGGCCCTCGCCCCCCGCAGCCCCAGGCCTCTCCCCACCCACAGTGGACATGTCGCCCACCGAGCCGCTGCCCAGATAGCACGGAAAAGCCCCGCGCTCAGCTTGGAGCCCGCCCCTAGATGCTCTGACCAATCACAGGCGTTAGCGATTGCTTCCGGGGGCGGAGCCACAGGAAAGGCCAGTTACTTGTGTGGAGCTGGCTATAGCCCGCCCCTTACCCGGCTGAACCAATAGGAGCAAGCTTCAGGCGTGCGCTCATAGGCCTCTGCCCCGGAATCTTCAGTGCCGGCCGAGCGTCTTAAAGGCCTGGGTACCAGATTCACCAGGTTAAGAGACAAAGGGCAGAGGGCGGGGAGCGCACAGGCGCGTCACTTACCTAGGGCGCCAGATGGCGCCAAAGCGAAATGACGGTGTGCGCCCGGAAAGAACGCTCAGCGGAGAACCCCAGAAATGACGAGCTTAAGTCAGAAAGGGGAATTTATTATTACGATACAAGAATATCTCCAGAATACAGCTGGGCCCTAGGAATAAACTGGAACCAGGTAGCTGTTTTAACCATTTTACATATTTAACCCTTACAGCAACTCATTTCATCCTCACAACCTATGAGGTAGGTAATATCATTGTCCTCCTCATCCTCATTTTACAGATAAGGAAACAGACATTGAGTAATTTAACTCAGCTGTTAGTAGCCAGGCTTTAACTCCAGACAGTTTGGCCTCTCAGAGCCTGTTTGGCCTACTATTGCATCAAAATGTGATAAGTACTGTGAAAACAAATTTTAAATGTATTTGTTGTGGGGTCGAACCCTGGAGTCAAATAAGACCACCAGAGGCTGCTAATTGATTTAAAAAAAAACAAAAAAAAAAACAGGCAAGGATTTATTGAACTGGCCAGGACGGCTGTGAGAGCACCACACGCAGGTGGAGTCCACACTCAGGATCGTGCCGTTCCAGGTGTAAGGCAGTCCTTTTAAAAGTCTACACCACAAAAAATTTCCTTTGTTCAAAATTCTAAAGGCTGAGAACAGCCCGCAGGGTCGTTCCCAGCCACATCCTGCTAGACGTTGGAATGTGTACCTATCTTGTGAAAGGATAGTACAGAAGCAGAACTGAGCCAAGTTAATCTCTAAAGATTATCTGCAATTTCTACTCCTGGAGCTACTGAGTCAGTGGGAATCAATCTCCTGTGGTTCTGGTCCACAGGCACAGGAAACTTGCCTTAGTTTCTAGGTCTCAATCTGGAAGCTGAGGTAACTACCCTATTGTTTAAGCAAGTGAGTGAGTGCAGAAGCAAGAATAGCAGGTTTAAAATTCACACAGCAGTTTTTACCTAAGAATCGTTGCTACCATACTTCAGTATTTAAACATTATAAAAAGTGGGGGCAAATTTAGATTGCCTGGTCCAAGAAGGACTGTTTATTCAGCTGTACCACTCATGCCTCCATTTAAAAAAATTTATATAAAGAAATATTTGATTTCAGAGAGGAAGGAAGAGGGAGAGAGATAGAAACATCAATGATGAGAGAATCATTGATTGGCTGCCTCCTGCAACCCCTCCTCCCCCACTGGGGATGGAGCCTGCAACCTGGGCATGTGCCCTTGGCCAGAATTGAACCTGGGACCCTTCAGTCCACAAGCCAACGCTCTATCCACTGAACCAAACTGGCTAGCATAGACATAGTAAGTTTTGGTATTAGTATGTGAGGGCTGGATAATGAGGAGAGGTAGCCCACCAGCCAAGACTGGTAGATAACAAGATGGAAAGGACCTGGGTCCTTGATGATATTGCTGGGCCACTTATTTTTACAAATTACAGAAAACCCCTAATTTAGGATTTGGATATATAGATTTTTTAAAAATCGGTCAGCCACTTTTAGTTTTTCTGTTACTTGTCTTTGAGAAGGTGACATTGAAACTGAGTAAAAATTAAAGGGAATAGTTCTGGGTAGAGGGAACACCAATGCTTAAAGCAGGAAAGACTTAACATGTTATAAAGACAAAGGAATTCCAGTATGGTAGGAATGTAGTGAGCAAGGGAGAGAGTTGTTGGTTGTGATGTTAGAGGCCAGATCAAATCAATTACCCATGATTTTTAAATTGATATAAAATTTATATTATAAATTATATGTATATAGTACATTGGGATTTTAAGTATTATGCAGGAAGATTGGTTACTACTGTTGTCTAGGCAAGAGATGATGGTGACATGGACCAGGCTGATGGTGGGTGAAGATGGAGAGAAGTGGACAATTTGGGACATATTTTTGAGGTAGATCTATTGGCTTTGTTGGTTTTGAACTAGCTGGAAAAGGTAGAATCAAACATGGCTTTTAGGTTGTGAGTGTTGAACAATTTGGTGGATGGATGATTCTTACTGGGACCAAAAAAGATGAGGTGCAGGATTTAACACATGTGGCTTCAGAGTTTGATTTATGACAAAACAAATTGAGGATATATGTCAATTAAGCAGGTGGATTTTTGAGCCTAAGCTTTAGAGGAGAAATTCAGATTTGGTAGTCTCAGGCACTTATACCATACTTAAAGAAGGAATTGGAGAAGCATAATAATACAAGGGTTTATGTAGTCAAGACATGAGTTGAGGTACTCAAACATTTAGCAGTTCAGCAGAGGAGAAGAGGCAGGTGAGTAGAAGGGAAATTGGCAGGGTGTGATGTTATGGAGGCAAGAGGGAAGAGTGCTCCAGATTGAGTGGACATCTGATTTGGATGCTGCTGAGCTGCTGGGTGAATTGAGAGCACTGGATTAGGCAACATGGAAGTTGGATATCAGAGATGGGAGAAAACTTCTTGGGTTTCTAGCTTGAATAAATGGATGGATAGTTTTGCCATTTGTTGAAAAGAGAACACAGAAGCCTGGATGTTGGGTGGGAGGGAAAATATTAAATGTATTTCGGGAAACATGGAGCCTAAGATGGCTTAGGACATCCAGATGATGAACTGCAGGCCGGTAGACACACAGGCCTGAAGTTGAGAGCATTGAGTTGCCTTATGGACCTGTGAACTGAAAGTTTCAGGAGCCAACTACCTTCCCTAGCACCTTCCTTGGTGTTTGCTGAGCTTCTCCAATAAAAACCCAAAAACTTCTACTGGAAAATGAAACACACTTGGAGAGCAACGTGTTTAGGAGTCTTCTGCATCTCAGGTTTTTGAATAGCCAAGGACCAGGAGTTCTAGCGCTCACAGGTCAGATGTCCTTGGAGACTGACAGGAGGAAGAGGCATCCTCTGGGACTGCCTCAGCCCTCTTCCCAGGAGCCCCCTGGCTGAGCTGTGAGGCTCTCGTGAAGAAGCTGCAGAGACATCCAAGTTCTTTGCTCCACAGCATCATCCTCTGAAGACCAACCAGACCCAGCTCCAGCACAGCACAGAGCTGGGGGATAAGGGAGCAGACCTGCACATATGATTGGCCCTGTCATCTGGACTCCTCATCCCATGCTCACCCCCACATCCAATCATTTTCCACCATTCCTCTCAGACATATATATATCTAAGCGTCCTGACCTCCCTGCTTTTGTCAGGGCCACAGTGTGCTTGGTCTTGTGTTTTGGTCCACGCTTATAATGAGCCCTTTTTAAGCCTTTCCTTCCCCCAACCCCTCCCGAGACTGGTGCCCAGTCTTCTCAAATAAAGGTATTTCCCCAGCACGGGCTGATAAATGTCTAATGACAGGATGGCTGGGCTGGGACAGGCACACATGAGCATGCACACACAACGCCCTTCTGCTACTCATTAGTTTGGCCACCTTCCTTATTAGAGCGAGGCTGTGCAACTGCTCCAGCAAGGCTCTTTGGGAAACGAGTGGAAGAGGCAGAAGCAGCAGGAGAACAAAGTAGTAGAGGCCCATAAGCTGGTGGGTGTTATAGGGGAGAACATGAGCCAGTCTGAGATACCAGGGTTGTTCATCCTTTTATCCCCAAGTATCACAGTGCTGTTATTATTGGAGGTAGATTCATAGGCCTTGTTGGTTTTGAACTTTGAGATGGGAGAAAGCATTTTTCTATAATTAAAAATGTTTGTTCTTGCTGAAACTGATTTGGCTCAGTGGATCGAGCGTCGGCCTGGGGACTGAAGGGTCCCGGGTTCAATTCCGGTCGGGGGCATGTACCTTGGTTGTGGGCACATCCCCAGTGGGGGTTGTGCAGGAAGCAGCTGATTGATGTTTCTCTCTCATCGATATTTCTGGCTCTCTATCCCTCTCTCTTCCTCTCTGTGAAAAATCAATAAAAAATATATATATTTTAAAAATGTTTGTTCTTGCCCTGGTAGGGTGGTTCAGTTTATTGGAGCGTCATCCTGTGGACTGAAAGTTGCCAATTCCATTCTCTGTCAGGGCACTTACCTAGGTTTCAGGTTTGATCCCTGGTGGGAGTAGGAACAGGAGGTAACCAATTGATGTTTGTCTCATAATCGATATTACATCCCCCCCACCTCACACATACACACACACACACACACACACACACACACACACACACCTTCCCCTCTCAAATCTAAAATCAATAAGACATATCCTAGGATTAAAACAAAAGTTTTTTGTTTTTTTTTTAAATATATTTTATTGATTTTGTACAGAGAGGTAGGGAGATAGTTAGAAACATCGATGAGAGAGGATCATCAATCAGCTGCCTCTTGCACACCCCCTACTGGGGATATGCCCGCAACCAAGGTACATGCCCTTGACCGGAATCGAACCCGGGACCTCTCAGTCCCCAAGCCGAAGCTCTATCCATTGAGCCAAACCGGTCTTGGCAAAAGTTTGTTCTTTTTTTTTTTTTTTTTTTTTTAATTTCTTTCTTTATTTTTTTTTACATATTTTAATGATTTTTTTTGCCCCCCTCCCTCCCTTCCCCAGATCCCCTCCCTCCCCATAGTTTTATGTCCATTGGTTGTACTTATATGCATGTATACAAGTATAAAGTTTGTTCTTAATTAAATGTTTCAGAGGGAGCCCTAGCTAGTTTGACTCAGTGGATATAGTATAGGCCTCTGGACTGAGGGTACCGGATATGATTCCAGTTAAGGGCACATGCCTTGGTTTCGGGCTCAATCCTCAATAGAGGGTGTGCAGAAGACAGCTGATCAATGATTCTGTCTCATCATTGGTTTCTATCTCTCTTTCTCCCTTCTTCTCTGAAATCAATAAAATATATTTAAGAAAATTGATGTTTTTTAAAAATATATATATATATATATTTTTTAAAATATATTTTATTGATTTTATACAGAGAGGAAGGAAGAGAGAGAGTTAGAAACATAGATGAGAGAGAGTCATCGATCAGCTGCCTCTTCCACACCCCCTACTGGGGATATGCCCGCAACCAAGGTAAATGCCCTTGACCGGAATCGAACCCGGGACCCTTCAGTCCCCAAGCCGACGCTCTATCCATTGAGCCAAACCGGTCCGGGCTAAAAATATATTTTATTACCTCGCGCTATCCCCGCAAACTCTGACCTTTCTGTGGGTGATTGAAGAACTCCCTTGAATCCACGTGTTCGCACAGATTGGGGCGTCACAGCTGCTCGATGGACTCCTCCGCTGTGGGTTTTCCAGGCCTCAGAGAAGATCCTCCTTTCCTGGTAAGATGGCACAGCCTTCCCTCTGAGCCCGTAGCTCCGGGAGTCACCGCCGCGGCAGTGTTGGCTGCTTGGTCAGGAAATCCTGTCCAGTGGACCCTTCCTTACCTTCCTTGAGGGTTCCGCTGCCCCTTAGCTGCCGATCAACCTTCCCTGAGCAACTCAGACGCTGCTTTTATCTGTTCTGGGACCGGAGTCAGAACAAGTCCGTCTGTTCGGTCGCCATCTTGTCTCTTCTCCCCACATGTACATTTTTAAAAGCTCTTATGATTTAGTTAGGTTAGTGGTGAATTTTTGAACAGTTGGGTAAGAATTTCTATCTTAAAATGTTTTCTCTTATGTTCTTCACTAGTTCATATATTTCTTCAGTGTATGCTTAATTTTATGAGTGTTGTTTTTTGTACATAACATTTAAATTGCAACTCTTATAACTGAGGACTATGAAATTGCCCTCTGCTTGAAAATTAGGAATAAATATTGGACTTCTCATTTCCCAAGTTATATCATGTGACCATAAATATTTATATACACATTCAACTTATCAGAATCCAGTACTGAATTTCTGACTCTCAATATTTCCCTAAACAAATAACCAGTAGCAAAACAAACTTTTCAGGTACATAGTTTAGGAGACCATCTATAATACTTAGAAGAGGAAAAATATGAGCACTTTAGAAAAAATCTATAAAAAATTAATAGTTTATCTCTAGGGCATTATTTTAAGACTATTTTACCTTTCAAAACCCTTTCCCCTACAAAATTCAGATTGTTTTTCCAGTCTAGTAGGCCAACTTTCTTTCAAAGATGATCTTTTAACACTCCAGTCCTTATTACCTCACCACAGGAAAAATATCTAGAGCCCCTGAAATTGTAACAATATTTAGCATTGTGTTTTAAGTTATAAAGTTGAGTTAAAAGCAGCCGAAACCGGTTTGGCTCAGTGGATAGAACGTCAGCCTGTGGACTGAAAGGTCCCTGGTTCGATTCCGGTCAAAGGCATGTACCTTGGTTGCGGGCACATCCGCAGGGGGTGTGCAAGAGGCAGCTGATCGATCATTCTCTCTCATCGATGTTTCTAACTCTCTATCCCTCTCTCTTCCTCTCTGTAAAATATCAATAAAATATATATTTTTTAAAAATTAAAAAAATATATATATTTTATTAATTTTTTTACAGAGAGGAAGAGAGAGGGATAGAGAGTTAGAAACATCGATGAAAGAGAATCATCAATCAGCTGCCTCCTGCACACTCCTTTCTGGGGATGTGCCCAAAACCAAGGTACATGCCCCTGACAGGAATTGAATCTGGGACCCCTAAGTCTGCAGGCCGACGCTCTATCCACTGAGCCAAACCAGTCTTGGCAAGAAAATAAATGTTTTAGGGGGAGTCATGACAAGGGCTTTTAGGAATTTTTAGCTTAGCCCATTCAGGATGAGTTGCCAACACTCTTAGAAGCTCTTCCCCAACTTACTTATCCAGCCTTGCCCTCTGACACACATGCTGAAGTCCAGGTAGATATACCCATGCTCCCCCTTCTTGCCTTTGCTCACACAGCTCACTTCCTGCATGTCCAAATCTGATCCCACCCATCCTGCAGAGCCCTGCCTCAGTCACCTCCACTGGTAAGCCTTCCGAAACTTCCTCCAAAGACCAGAACTTTGTTTTCTCTAGCACTTCATTCCCTCTAGCTCTCATGCACTCCCACTTTTCACCTTCATTTGGGGTGACTGGTGTCCATTTTCTAGATGTCCTGCACTGGGTCTCTGGGAGAACAGAAGCAGAGTCAGGCTTTTGTTTCCTCAGAGCCTGGTACTTGAGTAGATCAAATAAATACTAATTAAAAAATATATTTTATTGATTTTTCACAGAGAGGAAGAGAGAGGGATAGAGAATTAGAAACATCGATGAGAGAGTCATCGATGAGCTGCCTCTTGCACACCCCCTACTGGGGATGTACCCACAACCAATGTACATGCTCTTGACCGGAATCGAACCCGGGACCTTTCAGTCTGCAGGTCAACGCTCTATCGTCTGAGCCAAACCGGTGCCGGCATAAATACTAATTGATACAAGCACATCACATGAGATCCCCTCCCTGACTTCCAGCCCCAGGTGGGTGTGGCTGCACCTATTTTATGGATGAGAAAACTGGGACCCTGGCTCTGAGATCACCAGAAAGGCACAGGCTGTGGCTCCCCAGCACTCCTCAGTGCTCCTCTGCACGGGGAACAAGTCTTCCACCCGCTGGGAAACCCTGGAGCGGAAGAGGCGGCAGCAGCTGGAGCACCAAGCAGTAGACATAAAGGAACCACTCACAGGTGCTTGGTGGAAGCTGAGGTCACCCAGTCACTGCTTTTCCATCTGTCATTCTGTTCCTTCTCTCCATCCTCCTCCAGCTTCAGCTTCCCTTTTCCTTCTCCTCCTTTGGCTCCCTTTTCCTTTTCCTCCTATTCCTTTTCCTCCATGGCTTCCCTACCTGTGCTTGTACCCAAGGCCCTGTCACCTCCACTGCCTGCTACCTCCATTCGATGCCCAGCCCCTCCCCAAGGAAAAGCTGTATGACTACCTTCCTCTCAGCCCCTCATCCTTTCTAAGTTAACTAAGCAGGCCCAGGCCAAGGAGGCATCCAGTCATTTGCGTCCCCTTTCTACTGCCCACCCCAAGCTGGAAAATGAACCAGTTAGAGAGTTCTGTAAAGGGATGACCAGGACCAAGATCCTAATTTCTTCTCCAAAGCCTTCTCAAAGAGATTGGTGGTGTCAGCTTCCTCTGCTAGGAGACAAGAGCAAGGAAAGTATCAAAATAGAGGGTGCTAGGCTACCCAGTGTGTACATTCATTCATTCATTGAATATATTCTGAACACTACTATGGACCAGACACTGTTCTCGCTGCTGGGGATACTGAACATCCCTGCCTTCTTGGAGCCCACATGCTAGCAGAGACAGACAATTATAAAGCAAACTAATACATTCTCAAGATAAGTACAAGTTAGGATAAAAGGCATGAAGCCAATAAATAGAATAAGGAGGTGTTGGCAAAGGTTAGAGATGGCGTTTATGAGGAATTTTTATTTGAGCTGAGCCAGGACTGAGAGTGAGCCAGCGAGGCAGAGAGCCTGTGGTGAAGATCCAGGTGGAGGGAACTGAAAGCACAAAGGATCTTGATGTGTTGGAAGCACCGAGGAAGGGCTAATGGCCTAGTGTGCGGTGAGAGAGGCAGGGAGAGTCCAGGGATAAACTGGAAATGTGTAGCAGGAATTTTATGGAAAGCTATTAGGTAGGACCTTTGAACAGGAGAAAACTGGATTTAACAATCAGTTAACTTACTTATTTTTTTAGGTAATATTAACATTATTAGCTCTGTAAAAATTTATTGCTGAGTATTATATGTGATTACATTTTATTTGTTATGTAAGATTTTATTTTTGACCAGTTGATGGGCCTCATTCTTTTCTTCCTATGCCAGTTTTCTATATTGTTGTTAAGTACCACTGAGTGGGCTCCTACTCCTGGCTTGAATGAGTAATGTCTACAACGTCCTGTCCTCAACAGCCCTCCTCAGCCCCTGTCCACTCATGTGGCTTCTTTTACAGAGTCACTCCAGCTCACCTTTGATCTTCCTCTTTTCCTGCTGCCTTCTCTTTTCCCCAGCACTATTGTCTTTTCCAAAGAACCCTGCCTTCTCATTATGTGTCCGAAGTAAGACAGGTTCAATTTTGTCATTTTAATCTTCAGCAATATGACCGACTAGTGTTTTTTTTTTTTTAATATATGTAATTATCACTAATTCTTTTTACATCTTCCATTAGCCTTCCAATACAACTTTTCACAAAATTAAATGCATCAATGCTGTATCTGTTCCACTTTCCTTTT